TACATAAAATTATAGTATTTTATGTACACTTCTGATAAAATTTCATAAGAAAGGTACCTAAATTAATTAGATACCTTTTTCTTATGAAATTTAATCTCACTATTAACAGTCTTATTTTTTAATTTCTTTATATTTTCCATAAACCATCATAAACATAAAAATGAAAGCTAAGTACAAAAAATAAAAATAAAAAATAAAAAATTAGAGCGCTGAAAGTTTTCCTTAAAAGTAACAAGGTAAATAATTTGTTCACTTAAGTAATTTCACTTCCTTCCATCCATAGAAAGAATTCTCATCCCGTAAGTTATCTAAACATCATGAATGTGCCTTTCGTCAAGCGACGCGAAAGGTTATGACCTGCTTTGTTTTATTTTCAAATTACATTTTTTTTCAAGCAGAAGCTAAGTTAAGCTTGGTTCAAAATATTTTAAATAAACAGTATAATTTCTGTTTTATTAAAATCAGTTTTGAAAAAAATGATAATTGATTTTAAAAAGAATATCAAAAGTAAGATTTTAATCTTTTTATCAAATCGAAAAAATGATTGAAAATGATTCTGTCCTTTTTTTTTTTTTTTTTTTTTTTTTTTTTATTAAAAAAAATTTTTAACGAAAATTTCAGACGTGCTAGGAACGATTAAAAAATGTAAAAAAATACCCCCAAAATACTTTGATCTTTCCTCTTTAATAATAGTATGAACATTAGACGATAAAATTTTGTTCATCATGCTATGCTCTTTTGTTTACATTTTCGTGGGTGAGTTGTCCCCCTTTCATTCTCACGATGTGTCTTAATCGTGTTTTCAAAATGATTTTATTAAAAAACAACTGTTTTTCCCATTTTCGATCCCGTTAGAACCACCACAAGGTAATTTTATGTAGTCCTGTGAAGTTTTGTTGAAATCGGCTAAAAAATGTAGGAAATTCGATCCAACATATAAACGTTACAGACACACACACACAACCTGCGTTTTATAATAAGTAAGATACCTATAAGCTGAAACTCACATAATACATGGCTCATTTAAATATATATATATATATATATATATATATATATATATATATGCTTATGGCTATATCATGTTGAAACATTGGTTCCTGTACAATTACTGAAGTTAATCAATGGTCAGTACCTAGATGGGTGAGTGCTTTAGAATACCAGGTACTGTAAGCTTGGATGTGTGAGTGATGTAATGGATAATGGCTTGGAATTTTTAACAGGAGAGCCAAGTTTGTTATATTCACTTAAGCATAAATATCCTTGGGAAAGGTATGAATCCACCTCTTCTCCCAGCTATGGGTTAATTGGTAATATCTGCATCACTACATCATTATTATTTAGAAAAAATTATTGAAATCTAAAAATATTTTCTAGCGTTAAATAACCTGCAAAGGGTTGATAAGCCATAAGAAACAAATCAAACAATCAATCAACAAACTACTTTCTACTGTGAGAAAGTGAATGTTTCTTTGAGAAACTTGTATTGACATTACAGTACCAATTTGTTACTATTTTGTCTTGTTTATTGGGTTAATAAGCCGTAGAAAATGAATCAAATATATGAATACTTTTGGCAATATAGGTTGATAATACTAATTTTATTATGAAAATGTTGATTTGCATTTTCTAAATATATATAGTTTCGAACACATACTGTTAGGTATTTGAACTTAACAGAAGATGAGTTTTATTTCATTTGCTGTTCTATAATTCATTTCTATTGTATAGTTTTATTAGTAACTTTTTAATCAAATAATGTCAGAATAAAAATTGAAGTGATTTGTATTGACTTATTTGTTTATCTATGTATCAATAGATTTATACACTTTAAAAGAATAAAGTTGTCATAATATTTCCATATATTCTTAATTAATGAAATAACACAAGCAGTGGTGACAATGATTGTTTTGTTGATAAATATTCCTTTAATCAACTTTTCAATTTTCATCTGTTTTGTCACATTTCAAATACTTTGAAGTAGCCTTGTTAAAATCTGAAAATGTTTATCTTAAGGAAATTATAAATCCTATCAAAAGCATTATCTTATAGATGGAAAGACTAGACTTTTTTGTATTGTTTGTAGTTCTTATATAATATTTTAGTTTTTCCAATTTCAGTTGTTTCAAGAGTCATTAGTTTTCATTTATACTAATTTTATATTAAATCTAATTGAATTTTTCTTAATGTATTTATCAATAGGTCTGTTATTGATGTACAATAAAATAAAGTTGAGAATGTTAATCTAAATAAATTATTAGTTGACACTTAAATATGACATCTGAATGACAAAAAATGAACATTCATTTTTAAATGTTCTGAACAAAATGAGATTCATTTCACATCTCATCTAAATCCATTGCTTTCACATTTTGATAAAACTAGAAATAGGTACATTTTGGAAGCTAATGTCCACATCCAACTTACCAGCTGCCATTTCTGGCAGACCTAGCTGCATTGTGCTGAAGAATAAAAAAATTTGATAGTATGTATGACTTAGCTGTGACAGAATTAAGGTGATATCAAGTAAGGTGACATAAATTGACCAACAAAAAAAAGAAAAAAATCTGGTTGACATATGTAAACACCTTATGTCTTGTATTATTTAAATTCACACAATTCTTATTAAAAAAAAATTTCTGACAGTTCCAAACAAAAAACAAATATCCTCAGTTACTGAAAAAAATATATTAGGTGGGAAATTTATACATTTCTTCAAACTTCAAAGTTTATTGCTATGTTTCATTGAAACAACAGTTCCCAAACGATCACCAAAGTTAAACAATGGCAAGCCTGGTCAGTACATAGATGGATGACTACTTGGGAATACCCAGGTGCTGTAAACTTGGATGTGTGGGTGGTGAAATGGATAATGGCTTGAAATTGTTAATCAGAGAGCTGAATTCCAAATCACATTGGGTTCATTATATTCACTTATGTGCAAATTTTCTTTGCAAAAGGTATGAACTCACCTCTTCTCCCCCAGCTATTGGTTAATTAGTAAGACTTGCATCACTAAACTATTATCTCCAAATAAAAACAATTCTTACATTCTATAAATATTTTCTGGGTTTAAATAACCTACAAAATGTTGATAAGCCATAGAAAATGAATCAATTATTGGAACTATACTCTGTGTGTGTGTGTGTGATATATCTCATGCAGAGAATACAGTTCCAATTATATATATATATATATATATATAGGCAGCAATCTCATTTATTTATATATCTTTCATTGAATGTGATGGACAAGGAAAGTTTTATAATTTTTTTCAGTTTTTGTAATGTTCTTATGCTTTAAAATTACTACTACTATTACAATACAATATAGAGCATAGAGGAAAATATACTCACAATAAACTCCTTGAAAATGTCTGAAAGTGTTTGGAAACCAGTTTCTGCATTCTTTTAGTTTCCATTTAAAAAAACACTGGGAAAACTAAATAAAAAAAAACCTTTCCTTGTTCATCATATGTATGTACATCACTAATGCAGAAAAATAAAAATTTATTTTATCACTGTATTTAAATCAGTGGTGTGTATTAACCACATAGATCAATGGTTCCCAAACTTTTTGTTCTCTAGGTTACATTTTCAGAATAAAAATTTGCTCATACCTCACAAAATTTTGTGATGAAAAGTACATTCAAAAATAAAAAAAAGTGAGGAGGTTAAAGGCCGATAACGGCAGATTTGAAGTCAACATTATTGTTGATAACTCTCTCCTCCAATTTGCAGAACCTAGTTACTCTATTCTTAATACTTGATATAATGCAAAAATATCACAATGTTAAAATTTATCAATAATTATTTATAACTATTTATATTGGGACTCATGCAACTACAAGTAATCCATAATAATTTTTTTTAATTTTGAAAGCCTATTTATTTTTGGCATATAAAATTTTTCAAACTGTTTTTAAATTTTGATTGTCTTTCAATCATTCCACCACACCTATGAGGCATGCTACACCATTTGGGAACCACTGACATAGATTGAATATTATACAATGAACATTTCAGATCAAAATAAGCTTATAACTCAATGGCTTATTGGTCCACACTTAGAAACAACATCTGCCCAATTCTATGCTTCCTTGTTGATATCTCAGAAACAATGGTTTATACTCAATTACTTCTAAATTTTTGTGGAACCTTGCCTGAAAATTCAAAGAACTACTAAATTGATCTTCTAATTTTTATATGAGTTATCCTTTTCTCACTGCTTCTTATCATGATCAATCTCTCTCTTGACACTAAACAAAACACAAGAGAAATCTAAATCTTACTGATTCTTTGAATTAAAAGTACATATGTATAAATTTAGCATTGGTTTATAAGACGCTACAATTATAGAGTTTTAAGGTATGGTTTTATGGATTATTTTTAAAATTTATACCTAAAGTATTTTAGTTATTATTGTTTGTTCAAAACCTCAGTATCTCTAAACGAAAATGACAGGTTGAATTGTAGTAAGAGAAAAAAAAAACATTTCCAAAGAATATTCAAAATACTGTAGTATTTAAAGATTTTTTTATGAATACTTTTCACTCTGTTCAGTCATTTTATGTCAATAGACTCAAACATTAGAAGTGGAAATAAAATTTTACAAATGAAACTTAGATGAAAGAGTGAAAAAATTCTTCAAAACTGTGTAATAAACCTGCAGCCATTTATCAAAAAAGGATTCAAATTTTACAAGTTGATTAATAAGCTTAAATTGAACTCATGACTTACAAGACAAATTTCTTCTTGTCTTTTAAATAAGTGGTAACAAAAAGAACTTACATGAGTCATATTGAATATATCAATATGTCAACAAATTCAAAAGGTATTCATTTGTTTTCATGTATATTTTCAAAAATATATGTTAAAAAAGTATGTTTTAGCTGTATATTTGTCTATTGAAATCTGTTTTTTTTTTTTTTTTTTTTTTTTTTTTTTTTTCTCTTATTTTCTTCTTAGTTATTTCATATCTTATTCTTTTCTCTTGTCAAGGTTCTGGAAACAGAGAGACGTATCTATCTGGTAACAGAATATGCGAGTGGTGGAGAAATATTTGGTAAATATTCTGAAATGCTATTTTGTCTATATATTAATAAAAACAAAACCTCAATCATTGTGTAATAAGGGAGACAACTCTTGGGTGTTACATGTACTGAACAATCATTTTTACCTATTAATGTTCTAATCCAAACATTTTCAAACTAGTGTTGCAATACTTTATTGTAATTAGTCACCCGTTCTTCTTTTCAACAATTCTTTAATAATTGAAATACATTTTTCATTGAATTATTTCTTTAGTTTTTTTTTTTTTTTTTTAAAGTGTTACCTCTTAAAAAGTTTGATATGCTCTGCTTCCTCTCTGATAGTCTGGTTCTTAAATTCTCATTACACATGTTTATTTAATACAAAATATGTCTTCTCTATTATAAAAATTATTTTAAAGCAACCATTTATAACATCATGAATATTACTCAACTTGATGCAATTAACAAATTCTCACAAAGTTTCAACTTTTTAGTTCATAATCTGTTCATGTTTTAAAAATTTGTCCAAGAGTTAAATAAATTAGATTATAAAACTATAATCACTGATGTGTATTACAATTGATATTAAGCGAATTTCTGAAGGTTGTCTTTGGCAAAGGAAGCCACTTTTAAAGATAATACCTTTACTTTGTTTATTGAAGAAATCTGTTGTACTAATAGAGTTCTCTAGTGTTTGCATCCAAAAAATCATAATATATGAGTTTGTTTTAACTAATGAATTAAGAGAAAAGAATGGTTTCTATATTATGATTTTGCTCAAGGCATTCAAAGATTAGGAGGAGCTTCTTTTTCTATAACAAAGAAAAATGTCTCTTCTAGAAAATCCCATCTGATAAGCTGAACACTTTTAAGGTTGCTCTTTCAAAGAAAGCAAAATATTCAACATTTTTTCTTAATTATACTGAAAAGAAAAATATAAAAATTCCCTTATATATATATATATATTATTGAATGGTAAAATTAACGCTTTTGGTATGTTTGTATTGAACATCAGTTTCAGAGTTACCTCCCTTTGTAACAAGATTTATTGGCAATAAAAAAAATTTCTATTTTTTAGTTGAACAATTTATGCAGCTAATGTAACTATATTGTAAGAAATAACATTTAGCATACTTTATGAGATACAAAAGATTAAAATATTATTGTATCATAAAATGCAATAATAATAAGGTGGGGGATCAAAAAGTTCAGTCATACACACTTTCCAAAAATCTAACCATTTTATTTCTTTTTTAAAGTGTTTCTTGGTGAGGACAAGAATTTTCCAGTAATATCTCGTTTTGTGTGTTTTTTTGTTTACAATGCTGTTCACCCCTGTCCAAGGCTCGAGAGCTACTTGAAGTAAAGGGTTACAGAGTAAGAGGCACAGTTTATGGAGAAGATAACAGTTGACTTTAGACTTGAACAGGTTAAGATTATAGTGATTGGGGAAGCATCCTCTTGGGAGTTGGTTCCACAAAGCAGGGGTTCATGGAATGGAGCTGCTCAAATGGAGCTTACATCTCACAATTGAAATGTGAGGGTGGTTCACTACAGTGTACGTGGCATGGGAAAGAGAGTAGAAAATAATGCCTCCTTATGAGGACGCAGAGAGGCTTTTGGACTGGAAAATGAAGACTGGGCAACTTCTGCCCATATATGGCAGCAGTACTCCATTTTCGACCTGATATTGCTCTTGTAAAGGTAGAGGATAGCAGGAGGAGGAAGAAGAGTCTGGTACATACTGGAGTTGCACAGGGAACCAACCATTTTTCTACCATTTTTAGTGATGGATTGTATGTACGAGTTCCACTTGAGGTCTGGGTACTCAAGACATGAGTCCTCACTGAGAGAACACCTGTTCATTGCAATAAGTGAAAATTCAGGGTCCACTTGGAGACTATATTTAAGTTATTTACCATTCATTTTTGTTATACTTGATCTTGTTTCACTTTAGTGAGATAAATTAACAAATTCTAGGTATGAATAATATAAATTTATTTTCAATATTTTTAAATTAAATTTTTTTTTAAATTCTTACTGTGTTACTTTTACCCCCTAAAAATAATTTTATATGATTCAACTTTATTAATCTTATACCATGATTTTGAATAAGTCAGGAATTTTATACAGTTTCTTGCATGGTAATTTTACATGTATAATAATAGCCAAATATTGACTGTTGGAAGAAGTGCATAGTGTGTACAATATTTTGTATTTGAACAAATAAAAATTAAATAATATATTATGGAAAATATTTATATCACTTTTCTAACAAAATTGCATACTATTTATTGCTCAACTATGCTTGAAAAGTAATAAAAACAATGCTTATCTTTTTTGCTGTTATGTGTAATGACATAGCTTGAGCATATTCTTACTTACTGACTGTTGATATCTACTATTGTTTGGGCTATTGCACTGATATATTAAAGTGCTACCAGTGTGAATCTATATATATAACACAACAAAATCCAAAATTGCCTCATATGGGAGGGGGTTATAGATCTTTTTTAGCCAACGAGAAGTATATTTGTCTTATTCAACCCCGGTGTAAAGGTTGTGTTTGTGCTGGAATTAGAAATTTAACATTTAACTTTGACAGCAGTCAAAAAATTGATACAGAATTTATCTATTTCAATGTTTCAGTCAGACAAAATGCCCTAGTTGGTGGTAAGGGGAAGGTTGAAGCTATTAGCCAAAAAGGGAAAAGGTTTTATAAAATTAACCGGAATATTAACCTTATGACATTAAATTGGGGTTATATAAAGAATGAGGTGTTAAATTGAAAGTAAAAGAGGGACAAAAAGGGAATTTTATATAAAAAAAAAAAAAGATTTTTATATATATATATAAAAAAAAAAAAGATTTTTAAAAAAAAAAAAAAAAAATGATTTTTAATTATATATAAAAAAAAAAAAAAAATGATTTTTAATTATATATAAAAAAAAAAGTTAGGTTCCTACTTAAAAAAATAACAAATTATACTTTAAAATGAGATATATTAAAAAAGATTAACAATAAATCATATTTTGATAATTTATATTAAATTTAAGTAAGAATATAATTTAAAAATTTTATGTTAAAGAATAAAAAAATTTGAAGATAAAATAAATTATCCATTTTTAATATCAATCTGTGCACCAAATGATTTAATTCTGTATAATTTAGCCCTGTTACCATACCAACAGTCTAATACTAATTTATTTTAAAGTCTAATAATTTGCTAAGAGGATACTTCTCAAATCATTATAATCTTAACCTGTTAAATTCTAGAGTTAAGCATTATCTTCCCCACATATCTCCATAAACTGTACCTCTTACCTCTTAAACTGTAACCCTCTACTTTCAGTGGCTCTTGTAGATTTTTATATGTTTCTAGAGTGATGGGAATGTTTTTATATTTTTGAAACACAGCACGTTATAGCCATGTTCATAGTTTGTTGCGTGTTGGCTTTTTCAGAAATGTTTTAAGTATCTCAAAATGTCTTATATAGGTTACTTAACAACCACTCATTCACACTGACTTACATGCCATGCAATTAGACAACACATGAATAAGCACCACAAGAATTATAACATTAGACATCTCCTCACTAACAATGATAATATACTCCATAAGTTCAACAACAAAAAAGTGACTAGGGATTATTGAAACCATTTAATAAAAAGAAAAAGACAACACTCAACAACATTAACTATGAACACAGCCACAACGTGCTGACCCTGTTTGAAAAATAAAAACATTCCCATAATTTTAGAAACATAAAAATCTATACATTCAGTTAAAAATAAATTTTAAAAAAAATATTCTTGATGATGTCTAATAGAACAGCCAAAAGTACTCAAATAGACAGAACATTTGGACAATTTCTACACACTTTATTTCCAGAAAAGAAAAACTTATGTGAACACAAGAAAAATTAAATAAAAAGCTTAATCACATTAACTTGTCAGTAGTGTTTAATAAAATTTTTCATCTCTTACACACATATATAATAAAAGTATATGTTATTGCATATGATTGATGTTTTGTGTTTTGATTTATGGGATTTAATTTCAAACAAAATATAATGACACACAAAAAAAAGAAAAAAATGACTCCTTAGAACAAAAATTCTAATTTTTTTTCCTTCACATTTTCTCATACACCTGAAGATGACTTAAGTGTGTCAAAAGCTTTGATACAGCATAAAGTATTTTTTACATCTGCAACATCCAGTTTTTTGGAATATGATATGCAGTTTCGAAAAGATGTCTAGGCTAAATTCAATAGACATAAAATGTCTATTCTTTTTAATAGTAATTGTTTAAAAGAACAGTTACTGCCTAATCATACTATATATATATATATATATATATATATATATATATACACACACACACGCTAATTTTGGTATTCATTTAAATATCTAGAAAGTGTTTTAACAGAGGATGGAAAATGTGAAACATAAAATCCAAAAGTGCATTGGGATAGTGAAAGATGTCTTCCAAAAGCTAAGCAAAACATTAAGAAACAGAAAAATTTCATTAGAAACAAAGCAAAATGTACTTAACTGTTATGTAATATTGGTCCTCCTATATGGTAGAGAATGCCAGATAATCTCATCATAGATGAAGCAGCAGCAGCAGAAATGTAATTTTGAAGGATCCTAAGGATATCATGGACTAAGCATGTGAGCAACAACAAAGTTTTAGAGAAAATGGAAACAAAAAAGGACACTTATACATCAGAAAGAGAGAGTTGATATTTTAATGGCACACAATAGAGAAAGAAGGCTTAGAAAATTTGACACTCACAGAACATATTGGAGGAAAGAATGATCAGAAAACAGTGTATAACCTACCTAACAAGCTTGGGTAAATAGTTGGCAGAATGTAGATTAAGAGAAATAGCAAAAAAAAAAAAAAAACAATTTACTAAGAGCTACAAAGGACAGAAAATTATAGAGAGCCATGGTAACCTATGCCCTGAAGGAACATTCAGGGCATAGGTTACGACGGCTCTCTACAAATACAATGGTACATAGAA